ATTGTTGAATGTGCTTACTTGTACTTCGAAAAATGGCCGCTTGTAGGCAGGATTCACCGTAAAAAAATGCAAGGAAAAAAAAGCCCTAAGATGAAGTTTTGGCAGAGAGAGAGATGGAGTGCTTAGAGAGAGAGAGAGAGAGGGAGGGAGATGATCTGCAGTACAAATCCCTATCTGTGTTGCCCGGTAGATGATTATGCAGTAGAGAGGGAGGGAGGGGAAACTGGGAGGCCCATGCTTAGAGATCTACAGTAGAGAGAGAGAGGGAGGGAGGGGAAACTGGGAGGCCATGCTTAGAGATCTACAGTAGAGAGAGAGAGGGAGGGAGATATTCCGTAGTAGATTTCACAGTCTTTGTTGCCTGGTTAATGATCCGTAGTAGAGAGAGAGGGAGTGCTTAGAGAGAGAGAGGGAGGGAAACTAGCGCTATTGGGTGAGAGAGAGGGAAATGTCTCAAATTTGAGACGATTGGTTCATCTAAAAAAGGCGGTCAGATTCAAGATCTCGAATCGTTACGTATAAGATCCCAATATGCGATGTCGCACACAATGGTTTCTCATATATATATATATATATATATATATACGAGCAAGACTTCCAAAAATAATGCATGCATGTAGAAAGAGAGATGTGGAGAGAGAGACATGAACTCCCTAACATTAAAGTATAGAGGAGACTTATGAGCTATTATGTTATAGGAACTCTATCAATTGTCGATTATTTTGTGATATCTTTTAATAATTAAAACAATTGTATGCATCAAGTATTCATTTTTTGTATATAGTACGCCAACCTAGAGCAACATAGCTATTTAAAAGCTCATGCTCAAAGCCCCTCTCTCCCTCTCTCTCCCCAACAGACACTCATTTCTTTTTGTTAGATTGTTGATCCAGATCAAGACCGATAGGTCATTGATCCACCCACTACTCCTCGTTTTAAAACACTACCTTGTAATAATAACATTTGGCTTTCTTATTCGTGCTTCCACAAGTGATGAAGAAATCCTAGTCATTGACTAGGGTTGACAAGGGGCCATTTGGCCAGACCGGGCTGGTCGGCCCCACCCTAAAAACATAGGACCTACGCCACATTTTGGGGCCCAAGGGCTAGGTCATGGCTGGATCACTGCAGCCCAAGGACAAGGCTGGGAAGGGCCAAGACCAAATGCAAGATAGGACCGGCCCCATTTTGGGCCACGTTTCGACTTAAGCCTGGGCCTATTCTGCTCAATTCGGGAAGGGGCATCTGGCCTGGCCCATTGCCACCCACGTTATTGACTTCCCCTTAACTTCTTATATCTCATGTTTCCTATCAATTCCATTATATTTTCTCTAAACCTCTTATATCTCATATTTTACATGAATTGTGCATATACTATGCTCCCACAGGAGTATACGATGAATCTACTCGCTCACGCAAAAGATCTATTTAGGAGGATTTTTTTAGACCATACAAGAATTACTAGATGATTATTTCTAAAATAGAAAATATGAATTTCGAGTTTTATTACACCCAGTTCTAGTCCTTCAAAAGTTAGACGGTTTCTATTTAATCTTGAGGCGTTACTCCCCAAGGAATAAATGGATAATATTACTCCCTAGGGAGTAGGAAATCTTTTGACATCCCATTATATATTGTCTTTGATTGATTTTTTTTATTACACGCGCTCTTTGTGATGCAAGGTTGTTGGATGGAGGGATAATTTGCAGAGAGAGCCTATAATTAAAGGTCCCAAGGATTACAGTGTGACCCGCAAGATGAGGGGCGTGCTTTCTGCCTTCATTTCAAAATCTATCTTTCTGAATTGGTAAATAAAATAAGGAAAAAGCAAGTTATTTACGTGGATTTTCACTCCTAGCCAGCTATCATACCGATGGCACTTTATTGTTTTCTTTTTGTAAAGCCATTCTTTTCCTTTTTCTTTTCTCTAAGTTTTGTAATTTTCTATGCAAATAATGTCACAATCATTCATGTGCAATAATGGTTCAATACGAACATGTTAGCTCGATATGTCACATGGGGTGCCACACAAACTTCCAGTACAAAAAAAAAAAAAACATTACTTGATCATTGGATGCAGTCATTGGACGATGAAGGGATTCTAAATCCAATGGCAAGCAAAGATTTCAAAAGATATTCAACTCCCTCGGGGAGTGTACTGTCGATTTACTCCCTCGGCTAAAACACCACTTATGATTAGTTAAGCTCAATTTTTAAGAATATAGCATCTTTAACACACAGATTAACTTCAATAAAATTTTTTTTCTAATTGTACCTCTAAGTACTTGAAAGAAGTAAGAGTGTCGTTTGCGTAGAGTCGAAGCTCTAAACAATCAAATTAGAGCCTACCTTAAAATAGTATCGAGAAATGTGGTTTTAATACCGTTAATATTTATGACAGCTTTAAAATATATTTTCATCTTTAATTATATAATTTAAATCTTCAAAAATAGTGTAGATCGAGTAGATCTATGAAAACTTGAAAATTGGCAGTCCAACAATGCTTTACAAGATGCACTGTTTCCAAAACTTGAAATCTTTTTTTTTCTCAGGTTCATGCATCTTGATGTAGAGATGATCAATTTGAATATTTGGGCATCAAACCAACCTATTCTCAAATTTTTGAGATGGGCTCTAATTTGATTGTTTAGAACCTCGGCTCTATACAAACTTTTTCCAAAAAGTAATGTCTCGAGATTCAATAGAAGACCACATAATTTTTTAGAGGGTCAGATCCTAGGGTTTATAAAACTCAAATTTAAAATTTTCATTATTTACAAAAATGCCCCTATAAAGGAATGAATCCAAGCTAAACTGGGTCTTGACATTTCAGAAAAAATATAAAAATATAATAATCATAATAATAATAATAATAATAATAATAATAATAAAATAATAATAATATTCAAATAATTCTAACAAAAGACCAAGGATATTTTCGTCACCTGATTTAAAATTTGCAAGTTGAAACTTGGAAACAGTGTTTGAAAACTCGCAGAGTCGAGCCGTACTCGCCCGGTTCGACTCGGGAATCATCTGCTACCGAGCCAGTTCCACTAAAAAATCGGACTCGATCGGTTCGACTCGGGAATCATCTGCTACCGAGCCCGTTCCACGAAAAAACCGGGAATCGCGGGTCTCAACGAAAAAACTGGGAATTGCGAGTCTCAACGAAAAAACCGGGAATCGCGAGTCTCAACGAAAAAATCGGGAATCGCGAGTCTCAACCAAAAAACCTATATTTTTTAGGTTTACACGTGGCACACATGGCCACCTTACGAGAGTGACATGTGGCCACACGTGGTAACTCACCTCACGTTTGCCTCACTCGCGTTTCTACACGCGCAATGAAGTGTCTATGACACATGACTTTATAGATAACCAAGCAACATTCATCCTTCGATGTTGGATAATTCTCACAAAAAATCATTAAAGCAAGATGATTGAATATATATTATTATAGATGCTACTAAAATCATATGTGCTGATGTGGCCGTGTTGGTTGACAACACCGATTTTTAGGTGTATGTCTTGAGTTTGAACCCCATAGCAAGCACCAAAAAATATTTTGAGTTCAAACCCCTTAGCGTACAACAAATTTTTTTTTTTTTGAGTTCGAACCCCTTAACGCACAACAAAAAAAATACAAAAAAAATTTTGTGTAAAAAAAAATAAACGAAGTCACAAAATACTGTTGTAAAAAAATAGAAAAAATATAAAATAAAAGGCTTTTCAAGATAAAGATAAAAAAGATAATACAACATTTTTTTATTTTTCTTGTAAAAAAAATACAAGGTAATATAACAAGTATTTCTTGCAAAAAAAATAAAACAAAAGGCATAAAAAAATAAAATGTACTTTGGCAACATCATTTTTTTATTTTTCTTGTAAAAAAAAATAAAAGTAATACAACAAGCAAAAAAACATGTAGTACAATATCTTCTTCTTTTGTCCAAAAAAAAAAAACAAAGATAATCAACAAGTATCATATTTTTCTTGTAAAAAAAAATAAAAGATAACATAATAAGTATTTCTTGTCAAAAACATAAAATGTATTTATTCATACAACTTAGGAATAAATAGTCTAATTATATTTTTAATTTTATAACATGATGGTCTTTAATATAAATTTAGTAATATTAATTTAAAGATAGGATTCATACAATGAGGCCATGTGAAATCTCTCGCTTTCTACTAACAATCTGTTCCACTAATTTATTCTAAAAGCCTAAAAATTAAAAAAAAATTGGTACGCATTCTAATAATTTCTACGTTGACAATAAAATATTTTATTTTATTTATTAATTTTTGTATTATAAATCATGTAGTGTACTATTTTTCTTACAGTTGTCAATAATATATTTTAAATTACATGATATTATAAAATATTTTGGATTTTTTATTATTTATATGATAAAATAATTATAAAATATTGTTGGTATATAATATTATAGTTAGTTAGGTTGTAATAATTTGGGTTTTTTAGCGGATTAGGGTTTTCCGCTAATTCGAGATTTTAGTGGCCAATTTTTCATGGATTTAGTCAACTCTTTATTGTAGTCCATATATGATTATATACTTAATCCACGATAATTCTATGATTTTTTTTATGTGATGTAAATTTAATGGTCAACATAAGTTCATACAAGGAAAGAACATTTCAATATTCATAAATTGATGAAAACAATGAAAGTTAATAATGCAGTACCCTCATTTCTTATTGGATTCATAAAAAACAACATTTATAATGAAATTTAATAATTTTTTTGAATTTTTTTAAAGCTTAATCAGAGTGATTCGGCCTGATTCTCGATCCAGATCCGAATCGCCGATTCGTCGATCCAAATCGGTTTTTGAGATGCCTGATCCGAGTCTGATTCGTTTTTTAAACCACTGCTCGGAAATATATGAAAAAGCAGCATATTACAGCTAAAGTGATTAGTCGCTCTCATCCGTTATGGTCTTTAAGGTTAAAGAAAAACAAAACTAAAAGTTTTCACATGGAATCTTCTCCGTACCTCCTCTCCCTTCCCATATGCTCTTATCATGAAACAGCTTTCCTCACAACAATTCTTGTCCCTCTGTCCCTTATTTGTGTGTTTATCTTTAGATATATCAACAATCAAAATTCTTAGGTCAAAATCAAGGAAGGCAAAAAGTCCCCATCCTTGTATATATCTCACCCCTCACCTCTGCAACAACCAAATTCCTCTTCTAAAATCAAACAAAAATGGGGAAGGGATCAGCATTTTACCTCTGTGTTGTCCTTGGAGTTGCAGGTTTCATGGCTGCCACCGCCGAAGCTGCCGACCTGTTCTCTTTCGAAGATAATTTTGATATAATGTGGGCAGAGGACCATTTCAAAGCGTCCGCTGATGGCCAGATCTGGTATCTTAGTCTCGACAAAGAAACGGGTAAGCCTTATTTCCTTTTTCCCCGAATTGATTAATTTTCCTTTTCCATGAGATAGAAACTGATGAAATTCTGCATTCATTTTATTCGAAATAGCGTGCTTCTTTCCGCATAGATTATTGCGTTAGGAATGTAGATCTGTTGTTTCCTCTGGATTATGAAGCTGGAATTTTGTAGAAATTAAGGTGGGTGATTGTGATGAAATTGCAATGCCTCTCATTCCAGTGATCTATTGAGAATTTCGGGCTCCGAGAAATAAAACAATCAAATAATGGAAGGGGTAGTGTACTAGGACTAGGCGCGGCTTTGACCAAAGTCCCAATACACCTCGGCCAAGTAGTCCAAAGTTGTGTACAGTATACAATTTAGGGCAGGCAGTTAAAAACAAATTCAAAAAAAAAAAATTATATAAATATAAAAAATCAGGAAAAAGTACATATAAGTGTGAATATAAAAAATAAGGAAAAGGTACATATAAGTGGGAGGCTCTAAACAATCAAATTAGAGCGCACATCAAAATTTTTATTAGAAGAAGTTGTTTTGATGCTCAAATATCCTCAAATTTATCATCTCGACCACATGATGCACGGACATGAGAAAAAAATGGATTTCAAGTTTTGAAAATAGTGGATCTTGTAATGCATTTTTGAGCCATCAATTTTCAAGATTTTCAAGTTTTCATTGATCTGCTTGATCTACACTATTTTTTAAGATTTAAATTTTATAACTAGAGATGAAAACATATTTTAAGGCTATTACAAAGATTTCCAGTATTGAAACTACATTTCTCAATACTATTTGAAGGTGCGTTTCACTATAAATTAGATTTTTTTTAAAAGGACACGGTTTTTATGAGTCCATGTAGAAATGAGTAACCTCATAATAATATATTTTTTAGATGATTTTTTTTATTTAATTTTTAAGGACATGTAATCTCTAACATGGAGATCATGAATATGAATAAATAAACAAATTTTGAAAATTTAAAATAATAATTCTATTAAGAAAACATTTGGACTGTTAGTTTCAATTTTTTTTAGATGGACCACAAATTTGCGTCCATCTTTAAGATGGATGCTTTATACCTTGGCACCGCATATTTTAGAAATGCAGTCTTGCCTCACATGAAACAATTTTCCTTTTTTAAATCCATATTTTCTCTATATTTTATGCCCTTAATTTTAATTTTTAAAGGTATTTTAGGTCCAAAATTACTTTCAATACTTTATTTTCTTAGGGCTTTTGGCCCCATGATGGACTTAGCCGATGATTCAACCAAGTAAGCCATTGTGCCCTGGCCGAGGGGATTCCCAGCACACTACAAAAGGGTATTATTACAGGGGAATGCTTACTATTTGATCTCACCCACATATAAATTATATCCATCCCCACTTTTCACCCGTTCGATGTAAATAGACGGTTAAGACTGCTCATGTCACAATGTCACGGCAAAACATTGTTGGACTTTTTTTTTTTTTCTCTACAAAACATTTTTGATTGAAATTTGGGGCATCCTATCTTCTTATTGGGGCATAATTGGCCTAAGGGATTATATACAATGAGATCATTTAGCTTTGGTATAGGGAGGTCACAATTACTTACAATCATCCGATGCGAAATTTGATAGTTTGGATGTATCACAAAGTTCGAAAAAATTTCTTTTGAATTTTGAGGTTGGTAGATGAATAATGCAGACACCCAATTTCACATCCAATGGTCAAGATTAATTGTAATCACCTTGTATCAAAGGTAAATAGTCTCATTATATACTTTTCCATGACAAAAATATATATAAATAAATATTTCTCAATGATCAAAGTACCTACAAAAGTTCAAAGGGTATTCTGGTAAACTTTTGTCAAAGGAAATATTTTCGCATCAAAATGATTTATAAAATAAAAATTAAAAATAAAAGAATCTCAACTCTCAAATCAAGATCTAATGTTCGAGAGCCAACTTGTTATATTGTGATCTCAACCGGATACTCAAATCTGAGGGCTAACATCAATGTCATATATATATATATAAAATTGTTTTTTTTTTTAGCACATTAGCACACGACATCCATTTCATGCTGAGAGCCATTTTAAGAGGGGATGAAAATCAATTTTGTTTTAATTCGAAAATTTAAAAATTAAACAAAACTGTCTTATGTCCTTAATCTAGGACAACTTTTTCTTTCCTAAAATTCATTGCTCTTATTCAGACATTTTTTTTATTTAAAAGGTAAAACATATTTTAAAGGTAAATCATGTTTGTCGTCCTTGTTCTTAAATTTATTTCACCATTTTTTCACTTGAAAGAAAAGGTAAAACATATTTTAAAGGTAAATCATGTTTTTCGTCCTTGTTCTTAAATTTATTTCACCATTTTTTCACTTGAAAGAAGAGGAAGAGCGTGACAAATTTGGAGCAAAATAATGCATTTTGGGGAAGGTAATAGCACCCTGCGTAGATGTCATTTTGATCTATAACCAATGGGTTGGGGTTGTGGTGGTAGTACACATGAGCCTCATGATGTCCATTTTCATTAATGGATTCAAAATTTATCTATTTCAAACAATGAGTAAGGACTCGAGTGGGACTCGTATATAAGCATGTTTGATTATACAGAGTGTAAGATTTCAAAAGGAAATGCCTGAGCCAACTACTGCGACGATTTTTTACTAGTGGATTTTCATGTGTTGTGAATGTAAATGTAATGAGGGACAGACTAATAATATAAAAATTTGTAAAGAAAAAGAAATAAAAAAATATATTTTTAATATAAATATAAGAAGATAGATAAAAAAATAATTAAAAAAGGAAGAAGCCAAAAGATATTCTACTCCCGTGGGAGTAGAATGTTCGTTTACTGCATCGGGTACAATTCCAGGTAAAATTAATTTTAGGACCTCAGATTTTGGGGATGCAACCTTTTAAACCCATAGATTAACCTCAATAAAGAAATCTCTTAATTGCACCCTTTATACCGTTGAAAAAAAATAATGTCTCGAAATTGAATTGAGACCATCCAATTTTTTGATGATGAGATCGAAGTGCTAGAAAACTCAAATTTCAATTTTGTTTTTTGTTTTTTTTCTGAGAATAATCATATAGTGATTCTTTGGTGGTTTCTAAATTTTCATATTGAAAACTTTTAAGAAGCATTTTAAAGTTGTTAAACTTTTTTTTAATAATTTTCAGAAATTTTTAAAGCTTAAATACCTTCTAAACTGTAGGAAAATGAGTTCTCAATTAAACTTAGAAGAATAAATAAATAGAAACTAAAAATAAAGAAGATTTTAGGATTAGGGTTCCATTTAATTTACAAATAAAAAGGAAAGTTTAAATATATTGGAAAAGGAGAAACCGATGGGGGTAAGTCTTAAACCCAAATGATTTCCTGCTTCTAATTGAGCATACTGTCTGTTTGCTCCCTTGGGTAAAACCATGGTAGAAGTATTTTGAGGACCCAAAAATCTTGGGGATGTAACCTATTGAACCAAGTGGATTGAGTTTTTTTTTTTTCCCAAACAGATTGTGTATGATCCCCAAAAATTAACGTCATGAGATTGAGCAAATAAACTTACTCTTGAGCAAATAAACTTACTCTTGAAGAATATTAAAATTAATCAATTCCCAAAAGTAAAACTAGTATTTAAAAATATTTGAATAAAACTATCTATCGTTAAAAAGTGCACAATATCGTCGTGAAACTTTAAAATTTCTTTTAAAAATTGCTCATACATGATATTTATGAGTGTAAAAAAATCATAATCTATTTTTTATCCGCATTTTAGTTTTGGTAATAAAGAGTTTCATACTAAAGATATTATTATTCAAAAAATCTGAAATTCTTAGTAAAAAGCCTTAGAAAAAATGCAAATCACAGCACAGGATTGGACCAACGTGCTAGATAAAAGAAATTAGAGAATAGTAAAATTTAACCAACAAAACAAATTTAAACCTACTTTTTTTTCACTAAGGAAATGTATAACCACATCATAGTATACGATACAAGTGATACGATATAGAAAAATAGAACTAAGAATAATAAATTAAAAACATGGGCCTACTCTTTCAAGCAAATTGTAAGTAGTTTAGGTTAAAAGATAAGAGAAAGATAGAGGTACTTTCAAGGATTTATGAAATTTACGATGATGGTTCGACCTATGATATTTTGGGAAAACTTTCACGCACTAATTTTAAGAAAACTTTCACGCACTAATTTTAAGAAAGAATGAAATTTCTTATAAATATGGGAAGTTGAGAAAAATTAAGAAGGTGAGAGGACAAAAATATAAGAACTGGACAGTATTTATAGAAAAAATAGAAAGGTATAAAACCTTTGATCCTATTCAATATGGAATCCATTTGCACTACAGCTTCTGGTCACTTGCCCTATAACTTTTTTAGGGATGGGGTCCTCATTTATTCTTGTGATTCATGTCTACCCCTTAACTTTAACTCAATATTATAGTAAGGACCCGGTTTCTATACAGACAAGCCCGCATATGTCGAAATGCGAGCCTCTTAATAAATCTATTTGTGAGATGGATTTTAAGATTTAATTTTTAAGGACATGTAATCTCTAACATGGAGATTATGAATATGAAAAAATAAATAATTTTTAAAGACTATAAATAATAAAGTAAAAAAACATTTGGACCGTTAGTGTCCATTGTTTTTAAATGGAAAACCTACTTGCATCCATCTTTAAGATGGATGCTTTATACTTTCTTGACCGTATATGTAGAAATGCGGTCCAGCCCACATGAAACAATTTTTCTTATAATAATATAATAATATAGATAATTGAGGAAAATGACTCCGGGGGACCTTCATTACGTAAACCGCATTCGCTCTCCAAATTGGATTTCTACCGTTTTGTAGTAGAAGTATATATTCCAATTATGTATGATTCATTAAACTATATTTTTGTTTTTATGTTATGTTTAAAATCAGGATGCGGGTTCCAAACAAAGCAAAGGTATAGATTTGGGTGGTTTAGCATGAAACTAAAGCTGGTTGGAGGGGATTCTGCTGGCGTCGTTACGGCTTTTTATGTAAGTCGATTGGAATTATGGAAAAGTATACAATGAGAACATTTATCTTTGGTAGCAGGCCTGGTCTGGCCCAAACCCAAACCATAATGTTATTTGGGTCCAAAATTTGAACCCATACCCAGACTCGAATCGAGTATATCCTTCGGGTCCCAGGTCTATTAGGGTCCATTGCTATCCCAATTCACTCCCTCAATTAACCGCTAGGGTATTTCCACGACATTGAATTTTAGGGATGTATCATTACCAACCTATTTATGCGCTAACTAAAAGTAAATGTATTTTATAAGTGAGTAAAATAGGTAGCATCTTAAGATTGAATTGAAACTTTCCAAAATTTAGAATGTTAGATTTAAAGCCTCGGTTTCTATGTTACCAAGTCGGCATATGTAGCAATGAGGGCCTCTTAATAAATCTATTTTTGAAATGAATTTTAAGACTTAATTTTTAAGGACATGTAATCTCTAACATGGAGATCATGAATATTAAAAAATGAATAAATTTTAAAAGCTAGAGATAATAATTGAAAACATTTGAACCGATAGTTTCTATTGTTTTTAAATAGAACAGCTACTTGCATCCATCTTTAAGATCGATGCTTTAAACTTTTTGGACCACATAGATATGCGGTCCTACCCGCATGAAAAATTTTTCGTAGATTTAATTGTTTAAGAACTCTAAGCATATTTTATCTTTTTATGAAAATACTTATCTTGTCTTTCTAAATTGCATCGCTAAATTTTAGATTAAAGAATTCTCCTAAATGCCTTTTTTGCCCTGGGGAGTACAGATTGTGCAAATCCTTGGAAAACATAAAGGTCCTCGTGACTTTTCCCAAATCGGACCAAAACGAGGTTTTTGTTACGAGAAACTAAATTCAATCCTAAGTGATTTAAACGTTATTTAGTAAATATCTTGTTAAAACATAACTTTCAAAAACATAATTGTTTTTTTTGTTTAAAATTCATTAGAAACTCCAAATTTTTCAAAAGATCTTCAAAGAATCATGTTTTTTTAACAAAACTGATATAAATGTGCATTTTACCTATTATAAAAATTCTTCTAATATTAATAGCCTCATTTTTCAAATTGAATTCTTCACTGCCTTTGTTCATTTGAAACTTTTGAATTTTGGTTTTGACGAGCTTACTAGAATTGGGATTAAATTAATATTCTTGATTGATCAAAAAATTCCAACAAAAAGTCCACCAAATTATCCCAAGAAAACATATTCCCCTAAGAATGCTATATTACAAAGATCTTTACCAAAGAATTGTATTTCATAAAAAAAAATACAAAGTTAAAGAAAATGTAACCTGATGAATAATCCTTTTTTCGTTTTTTTTTTTTTTTTGAAACAACAACATCATTGCATAGAAGAAAATTTAGGTAATTGGAAATTATGAGTGAGGATCAAATATTTAGATTTTTCTTTCCACTTATTGCTTTGTACAATTAAGCCTTTTGTTTCCTTTTCTATATATATGCTTGAAATAAAATCATTGTATATTTTGTATGATGACAGTGGACTACGTATACCATGTTGTGTTTAATGAAAATTTCGACAAAAAGTAAGTTAATTAAGACCCAAAATGCTCTACCAGATATAAAAGTATTGCTCAATGACTTTATTGCATCCCCACAATAACTACAAATTTTGATTTTATTTAAGCCACCTACACATATCTAATTTTCTCACTCATTTTTTCTTGAGTTATATTCAAAATATTTTAGCATGCTTAATTTTTGGCCATCCATATTTTTCCCCAACTTTTTGCCTCCCATTATTTGAATTAAAATTGATTTCCTTCTTTAGTTTGCCAATATATTATTATTTCCCGACTTGCTAACAATAATTTAAATATCCTTGAACTGCCGTGGAATTCTTGGAATAATGACCTCATCCTAAGGTAACAAAAGATGTTATTTAAAGCTTTTGGGAAGTGTTTGATAAAATGAAATTAAATGCAGACATTTGAAAAAAAACAAAAAGTACCTAAATATATAGGCAATAGCTCCAAAAATCGTATAAATTGGTGCAATTTCCAAAGTTATGAAGTAATTAATCCCTACAATAAAAATCTATCGACTCACCTCTGAGGATAATACCCTCATTTTAATGCTGCAATAAAAAAAATGTCTATTCTTGACCACGTCAACTCCTAACATGTGAGACACTTATCATTTCTCAGTCTTTATGAAATTTAGGGCTTTTTAAGAACAAAAGAGGAGTAAAAAAATAAAGTTGGTCTAAAAAATTAGAAGATATAATCAATAGAATCTCTATATTATAAGATAGGTTTTAAAATATTAGGTCTATAAAGAAATAAAACCTAAATATAAAGTGTACGAGGATATTTTCCCTATTTTATTCTTTAACTTTGGCCCTCCCACTTTTTATAGAGGGATAAATACACTCGTTTGCCCCTCTTCTAAAACAAAATATTAAATCTTCTCATCTCTCATCTCTTTCTCCTTTTTTTTCCCATGATCTCTACCCTCCTCTCACATCCTCTAGTTGAAAACCCAATATATTCTTCTATTGTCTCACATTCTCTTTCTGAAGAATGTGAGAGGAGGCAAGAGTTAGTTTGGGGTTTCTAAAGAGAATATGAATGGAGTCAAAAATCAGATTTCTATAGAGAGAATAAGAAGGAGGCAAGTATGGGATTAGGTTTCTAAAGAGAATATGATAGAGAATAAAAATATGTTAGGTGTTAGAGAGAGAATGTGAGAAGAAAAGAATAACATGTGGGGTTTTTAGAAAAGTGTGTGATAGAGGAAAGAGCTTAAAAAATCCACATTGGATTTTAGAGAGAGACAAAGGGAGGGAAGAAACATAAGAAAAAAAATGTACATGACGAGAAAAAAAATGAGACCATTTCAAAAAGTGGGGCAAAGTGGTCCATCTATCCATTTATAAAAAAATAGGGGAGCCAATGTCAAAAGTAAATTCTCAATGAGTCTATTGTCTTGAAAATCAAAAAATCTAATATGGCTTTTTTCTTAAAAAACCCTAGAAATTTATTCCCAAAATACCAAGTTTCATGATTCAAAATGCGCAAGAATATCCTTATCAAATTCTTTTGCATTTTTTTTTTAGGAGAATTTTCCTAAAGGGCTCAAATATCTTACAAAATCATTGAAGGGCTGAAAAGATGTCAACTGCCACTACAAAGTTTACTTTTCAAGTATCATTTGGCAAAAGTATCTCCATAAAAATTTGTTAAAAATTTCCGAAATACTTACCCCTACTCAAAATTGAGTAACCTCCTAAATTTTCTATAGCAAAACTATGAAAATACTTTTGGTTGTTCAAAGTTGAGAAAACAAAACTACTAGATAATTAAAATACTATCGGTTTTGTATTGCTGACCCAGTCAACTAGGGTATTTTTGTTACTTTGCACTTCCATATTTTCAACCTTAGACAACTAAGGATATCTTTGTATTTTAGCTCGAACCATTTAAGTAGGCTAAAATTATCAAATTATCCCAATTTGTTCAAAGTACCCAACCTCAAATAGGAGTAGATTGAGAATTTTTAAATATTATTTTTACAATTACCTTTATAAAATGAAACTTAAATGTAAACACAACAGTGGTGAGTGAGATTTCTATGAGCCCGTCAATAATTTTGTAAGATAACTTGAGCCTCTAAAATGATATTTACTTTTTAAATTTTGAATGAAACTCTAGACATCATAATACCGAAGCTGACCACCTAGACCTCCCAGGCCCAAAGGCCATGCCTTGCCCTAATCAAACACTTCCCTTAATTAAATTGGGTATAGTTTCTAACACTAAGTTGGTGGACATACAGATGTGCTCAGACATGGGGGCTGGGCTAGAGAGAGACGAGCTAGACTTTGAGTTCTTGGGCAATAGGAGTGGTGAGTCATACATCATACAAAGCAACATTTACAAAGGAGGGGTTGGAGGTAGAGAAATGAGGCACTCCCTTTGGTTCGACCCCACTGAGGACTTCCACACCTACTCCATTTTATGGAACAACCATCACATTGTGTAAGTTCATTCCTTTTAATTTTAATTAGTATTTTAAAATATTTATCGGTGGGTGGATCGCCCACATTACGATCTCGGTCTAGATAGGGCGATCTGGCCAAAGAAAACAAAACGAAAAAAGGTTATTATTCCGTATTACTTAGTTGGAAGAGCTGAGTAGGCTAGATTGTGTGGCTTTGACAATAGCATTGGAGGGTGGAACTCTCTTATTGTGTTTTTCCCTTCTGCTAATGTTAAAAAAATAAAAAAGATAGCATGTATTTATATTGAATATGTTACAGAACTAGATTTATGGTTATTGCTACTATTTGGCTCTTCAGTAGTATCGCATCACACCATTCATGGGGGGTTACAATCATAAAGGCCAATTCCATGAAATGTGTTCTTGGTGCCATGCAGTGTTTTAAAATTCTCGGATTGGTAGATCGTTCACTTACAGATTAGTGTCAGACCATTAGATCAGCGATTCGGAGTGGGTCCAAATTGGTGATCTAAAAACATATTTAAAAAAAATAAAGTGAATTAAAAATTGAAATAGGATTTTTGGAGGGGGATATTTTCAAGGACCTACAAAAATTAGATAAGTGAAAAAAAAAAAAAAAAAAAAAAGGAAAAGATGGAATTTTAGGAGGGAAACAAGCTAGGGTCCACATAATCCCAAAACTGGTTCTATCCCAATCAATTCCCATCCATATCAGTTATACGGAATCACCGGGTTTTAAAAATTGGTGTTATAACAGTCAACATGAGGGCATTATGACAGTCAACATAGAATGTAGCAACTTTCAATACATGGGGTATACCTACCTTAAAGTGAGTGATCCTCCTTGTGTGAGGTTCAAGGAAGAGAGGGAGTTCAAAATGTGTAAAAAGATAAAAAAAGGAAGGAGGTAAAGAAACAGGAGCATGCTTGTTAAAACAGAGATAGAGAGAACCACATTCCACTCTATACAGAGAGAACTGACTTTAAGGAGAGAAGGAAATTGAGAAAAAGCAGTTCAAATAAGATGTTGCTTCTTTTCTCTCATCCTCAATGTTTGTGATTGCATTCACTAGAGGATTCAAAAACTTCCACCTTGCTTAGGACTTACTGAGCAAAACTATTCGGATAATTCTCATGGTTATCTTGCTCCCTTACTCAAGAGGATAATACTTTTCCGATTTACTTGTATAAGAGCAAAAAATATAGCGATATTTATATTGGGAGAAAGAGAGGAATTAGAAAAAGTGCTTGAGCTTAATTGGTTAGCACTTGACAATTTGCAACGCTAGGTCCTTGGCTCAATTCTACCAAGGGTAGGGGCCTTCTCCCCACTGACTCACCCAAAAAAAAAAAAGAGGAATTGAGAATGATAAGGCATGATGCTCTATTCTCAGTTGCATATTTAATTTCCATTATGCTCGTTGGATCTGTTATCTAATATTGGTATTAGAGCCAATATGAAACCTAGTTCTTATTATTCCTCGAGAAAAATCCTAGCTTTTCATTGGTTTTATTCTTCGCCTTCTTTCTTCCAAAATTAGGGTTTTTATTCAGTTTTACATGCCTGCAGCTTGTTGATCTGCTACAAACAAGCCATGTCTAGCTCCATATGCTGGCTATGATGGCAGGGCCATGTCGACCAAGCTTATGCATGACACAAAAACTAGTCACATGCTAGGCCGCACACTAGTGCTTTGTGCAGTTTGCTACACTAGGCCATGCACTTTGAGGCCTCATGGGCCACACAGGCTGTGTCGGCCTCGCGCACTACATATGGCTTGCTAGGTGCGAGGCCTCAAGCCATATAAACTTAGCCCCAATCTCTTATAGCACTAGGATGTTGTGGGGGCCCGATCTGCATGTGCACATGTGTAGGGATGGACCCCTAGATTACAATATGCGACCACGACTAGATGCACATTCACATATGTGAGACCAATATTATGGATCATTTATTTATTTATTAAATATAAATGGTGGGAATAGATGGTCGGATGTTATGCTAAGACATCTGCCCCTCGAACCACTAATGCCCAAACACCTTTCCCTATGAGCCACTTATTACTGAAATTGCCTCAAGCATGGGCGTGCAGGTTCATTTATATCTTCTCAAGTTCTAGAAGCTTGACTCTAGCCTAGATTTTGAGCCCAATATCAAAATGGTATTTCTAACATCTGATTTTAACATAAATTGATTTTTACAAATACCTAGGTAGTACTTAAGTCTCAAACATCATTAACAGATCATCCAACAACCAAGTAACTCTTGCCTTTTATTCTTTTGAGCAAGGATGGCCTCAAAAAACCACCTACCTAAAGGAGAGAAGTTGAGGGAGTTTTTCCTATGTATCATAGGAAAATGTAGATCCATGGTATTCGAACTTAGTAGGAGTGAGCCAGCAAGTAAAGCTAAGCCACAACCCAAGGCAGATCCATTGACTGAGACCGGGGCACCTACAAAGGGTGAGTCCCGGTTGTGCAAGAACATTAAAGGAGTAAATATGGGAAAATTATAAATACCCCGAATTGGTACTTTCTAGGCATCCACCCCCCCCCTCTTGCGGCTTATATTGAGATTGTGCTAGTCCAGCACAAAATGTGCAAGAGAGAAAGGAAAAAATGTGGGTTAAAATGAAGATATTTAGTACCAAAAAAGTCAACTATTTTTATTTGGAATGGGGGTGTTGAATAACAAACAAACAGTTTCGGGGTTCGTAGTGTGGTATCAAAAGTAATGGGCGGAGAAAAGCATAAAAAGTCTAATTTAGGAGGGTATCTATGGCCTTCTCAAGATTATTCGCCGGCATTTTGAGATAATGATGGGCTGGCAAAGGGTTGGGCCAGGCCCAGCTAGCCTTGGCCAAACCTGGCTTGGGTTCCTTTAGGTTTGGCTAGACCCTGGCTAAAGTAGCCCTGACCCCTAGCCTAGGCCGCGCTAAATAACCCAAAGAAAACAAATCGAAAACAAAAAGGAAAAAAGGCGTCGGGTCGGGTTGGGCTGGCATTGTTGTGGCCGTAGCCCAAGCTCAGCACGCCCCTTATGCCGTGGTGGCTCAGCGCTAGCCTTGATCTTGGTCTACATTATCTAGCCAAGGAACTAGTCTTTTTGGAATGGACCAACTGTGCTGGACTGGGCCAAGCAACCCATTGCCAGGCCTACATTCACTTGATATTGATCGTCGTACCTTATTCCGAGAGGCCATGAATTCCTCTACTTGAGATTAATGGATATCTACTATGAAAGATAAGCTTAGCCCTGTGGAGCAAAACCAAGCATGAGAACTTGCCAACTTGTCGCCTAAAAAGAGATCTGTTGGAAAGAAGTGGGTCCTAAAGATTAAAAGTTGATTGGATTTTAGATAAATATAATGCTGAATTAGTGGCAATGTTTCACTCAATAGAAAGAGTGGACTATGATGTGACATTTCCTTCACTGGTAGGATCTGCCTCTACTCGCCTAATCCTTGCAATCATCTCATAAATGGACCTAAAGCTCTTCTTGACGGATTTTAACCATCTCATTGAATTTTTCTCATGTAATTTTGTCGCCACCACAGCAGCTTGGCCTCCTGACCTCCTCTATCAGTCATTGCACAAACTTGCAACATCTCAAGCGCTTTGGGAACAAGCCTGCTGTAGTACTAACTAATGCAAAAAAAAAAGGACGCTTTCACGATGTGAAATGAATTTACAAATAGATATCAAAGAACTACAATTTTGATTAAAAATAATGTTGGAAGCTTACATGCCATTCTTTTTAGCTCTTTGATGAAAAAATTACTCCAAAAAAATAGCAATCCAACTCTTCTCAAATTTCTCATCTGACTCCTAAAATCCCAAAAACACACCCCTTAATCCTAACAATTAAAATCTAAAGAACTCAAATCTATTAATCATATGCTGGCATCAAAGAATCTTCTTTTTTTCCTGCTCTCAGAGTTTTAACAATTGTATCATATGTAGAACGAGAGGCCATTGAGCCTGAGCAAGCCACTCCTATTTGCTTCTTATCTGAATTTCTTTTTTTTTTTTGTATGTGTATTTCTTACTTGCTCCGACATCAATACTCATCCAAGCGAAAAACTTAGTAAACAAAAAGAAAAAAAAAAGAAAAAAAGAAGAAAGAAGTAAGCATAACCAAAAAGTTCAAATTTGGATGATAAAAGTGCATGAGGAAGATTCAATCTCAAGAGTGGACACAAACCGCCCAAGAATTTGGCACTTCTAAACTTAAAGTCAACTTTCGCCTTATGTTAAATTAGGTATCTAATGATCTAATGCATTTTCCAAATCCTAATATCCTAAAATAATCTTTCTAAACTGCTAGAAGAGCAAGTGTTCACTTTTTTTTGTTTGTTTCTTTAATATTCTTAATTATCTTTATATTTTGGGGACTTCCTCACCAAGTTAAAGCACCATATTGGTTCTTCTCTTCCCCTTAATTTGGCTCTCCCCTTGCAACAGGTTCTTTGTGGATAGGGTGGCCATTAGAATCTACAGGAATACAGAGGCATCCAACGATGCATTCCCGAATGAGAAGCCAATGTACGTCTTCTCAAGCATATGGAATGCTGATGATTGGGCAACACGTGGGGGCCTCGAGAAGACAGATTGGAAGAATGCTCCATTCGTATCGACGTACAAGGATTTCCAAGTGGATGCATGCCAGTGGAAGGACCCTTACCCTGACTGTGTTTCCACCACCACACAAAACTGGTGGGATCAGAGTGAGGCGTGGACCCTCTCCACCTCCCAAAGGGAGGATTTCAGTTGGGTTGGTCGGAACCTCATAATTTACGACTATTGTCATGACACTGATAGGTACCCTAAACTTCCCAATGAGTGCATCAATTCTCCATGGGATTGATTCCATGCCGAAAGAATAAACAATGCTTCTGCACAAGTGGATTCGTAATTATAGAAGAGGAAATTGAAGACCTGTTACTTCGCTAGTTTTGGTTAGAGCAAGGGGCAAGCCTTTATAAATAAGAAGATTATTTTTTTCCCCTCTTTTTGTTGGCCATGTCAGTGTCAGGGGTGGGTGGAATATATAACAAATATTTGTGATATGAGATATGAGTAGCTTCCTAAGGGAGGCATAGGGGTGAAAAATGGTATTCAGTGAATTATTTGATTTTATCTAGTATTATGCCATATTCTTTGATAAACATTCATTCCGGTACTTGAGTAAAGTTTTCGGATTTTAAATTTTGGTAGATACACTCAAGAATCACCAGTATTTTTAATAAATAAATAAATAAATAAAATGGATGTTACATTCTATTACGGGAAAATATCTTTATAACCCCTATTTTTTGCTTCCATTTCTCAAGAGACCCTAGAATTTAAATTATTTCTTACGGCATAAAGTCTCTATCTTTTCTATCGTTCTACCCCTAGAACCTTTGACCATACATTATTGACCTAAATATTTTGTAAAATGACTCCATCTCTATCTCTCTCAAAACTCCATATCTTCCCCTCTCTCACCTCCCTCATCCTCCTGTTCTCTCTGATATTTGGGCAATAGGAACAA